AGGTTTGAGGCCATCTCTATTAGGTTGGAGGCCATCTCTATTAGGTTGGAGGCCATCTCTATTAGGTTGGAGGCCATCTCTATCAGGTCGGGGGCCATCTCTATCAGGTTGGAGGCCATCTCTGTTAGGTTCGAGGCCATCGCTAGTAGAAACAAAGAAAAAATAAAAGTAGCTTTATTGGTCTTTATTGTTCCTAGTGGTAAGGCCAGGAGCCCCTAGTAGCGTTCTTGCTCCTAGTAGTGATGCCCGGAGCTACTAGTAGAAAAGGACAAAAGGTCTTACGAAGAAAAGAAAGAAAAGTTTTACGAAGAAAAGCAACAAAAAGCGCTCCTCCAAGGCGTAGGGGATCTGGACTAAGGCCTTGGCGGTGGGTTCTCAGTCAAGTTGGTGCCGTTTCTCAAAGCTTTCTTGCTACTAGTAGCGATGGCCTCCACCTACTAGCTTCTAGTTACTAGAAATCTTTCTTGTTACTAGAAGATTCAAAAACCTAAAAAGCTTCTTGTTACTACAGGTGAAACGATTCCCAGTGAAACGATTTGCAAGGTTGGTGTTGCTGGTGTTTCCGGCATGTGATGAGCATCCCACAAGTGTCCTCTTCGTCGGACTTGGATTTTATAGGATGTTCATCTGTGATTCACCCCAAATTCACCTCCATCCATGTCACTTGGGACCTCCAAGACACTTTTCATCATTCGGAATGCCCTTTCTTTTTTCACCGAATCCTTATACAACGATCGCAGGATCAACACATCCCTTTCCATGAGTGGGACCGTGGCCTGCTATGGATTCAACTAGTGCGCCAGCCCACCTTCCAAAATTCTTTCGACAATACATGTTTTACAGGTTCAGTGAGTCTAACGTTTCACGCCTCTTCACGTTTCACGACATGGATCTGACATGCTACCCCAACCTCAACCACGCCAACTTCCGCATTCCACCGCCTCACGAACGACGTGTCTCTGTCCCGAGCCGCGAGGGCGCTGATGGGGATGGCACCCATGGCCTCCACGTCACTCAAGGCATGGTAAGCGCTCACCTGTGATGGTCGTCTCACCGTTCTGCGGCGATTGGTGGTGACCGTGTGTGTTGTTTTCATGCGCGCCTGTCGTTTTTATGGTGAAATGGGGTGGGGGGAGGTGGTGGAGAAGAGATGGGGAGTCTTTGAGAGAGTCTCTCTGCAATTTTGTTGGCATGGTCGAGCTCTGAACCTGGACATCCCATGCCGCTCCACTTTTGCACCGCGACGTTCGCGCGGCGGACCTGCCCCATGAGGTACGGGTCATCGATGAAAGTCCGGAAGAAATCCTCAAATTCTGTGGCTTCCACCCTAGTAGCGTCCTTGCTCCTAGTAGTAAGGGCCTCCACCCTAGTAGCTTCTTGTCACTACGGCCTCCAACCCACTAGCGATGGCATTTGAACCATTTGGTCTGGGACAACGGATTGGCGCTTTTTGGGCGAGGGGGATGGACTGTTGACACTGCCGGTATCTGAACTCACTCACTTCACTTTGGGAAAGAAATTCTGGTCGAAAGTGATCGTCAAATTTCTTGGTTCCACTTGACCATGGCTTGAAACAGGTTGGGAGTGGGTCATGCTGCGATCTTCGCTACATGGGCGCGGCTCAAGAATGCGCGTGTTCATAGGAGTTCCAAACCTTGAATTTCCCAAAAAACAGAGGTAGGTAGATCACCCAACCTGACTGGCTGGGCAAGTTTCAACACAATGTGAATGAACATTGGCTGAGACCAGCTTAACAGCCAGAGTCTTTTTCTTTTGGCCTTCAAGGAAGCCCTAAAACCCAAAACAATGTTGCTTGGACAGTAAATACCTCCCAAAATCTCCATCTATCAATACCATTTGCCATCTCTACCCATCAACCCATAACCCAAACCTCCAGCCGTCCTCCCATTGTTTGACCCCGACCCGGTTGGCCACACCGAGCGTCGATGGTCTGCACCGTGGAGACCACCCGCGACGCCGAGGCCGCGAAGTCCACCACGGCGGCGTCGTCCCCGGCGCCCAAGACCACCTGGGCCTAGAAGCGTTGGACCGAAGTGCGACGCCAAAAGAAGAGGTCCCGGGCCTTAGCTACTAGGAACAAAGGGCATCGTTAGTAGTAACAAGTGCATCGCTAGTAGTAACAAGAAGCTACTAGGGGCTCCTGACCTTACTACTAGGAGCAAGGACGCTACTAGGGGCTCCTGGCATCGCTACTAGGAGCATTCTTACTACTAGTAACAAGAAGTTTTTTTAAGTGGCAGGTGGTGACCTGTTGGAGGTCGTTGCCACAATTTGGTTCGCAGTCTCCCTGAGAGGGTCTAAGTTCTAAATTTTGGAACTGGTGTATGTTCCCCACAACTTTGCGTGGGCTTCTTATCTATTTTTACCGTCTCCGCCTCCGCCTCCTCCTGCTCCCCGCTTGCCCCTCATACCAACTCATCTCACACCAACTTGCACTCATCACTTTCACTCACTCAAGCATTCACTTTCACCAACCTTACGTTTCCTGTGTCTTGCCTTCTGGTTGTCAGCCTGCGGCCCTCTCCACACACCGACTCAACTCACTCACGACAATACAGTGGTTTCAGAGTAGATGGCACAAACCCCAAGATATCTTTTAGACGGGGATCCATAAACCTCCCTTTGGGAACTCCGCATGCCTCTTCCTCTTCCTCCATTCCTCTTCCTTCCGCTTTTGCCTCCACTTGTTACAACACAAAAGCTCCACTTGTGGGGTTGCCCGGTCCTGAAATGCTGAGTTCCAATTTTGTGTTGAGCCTTTCTTTGGGTCCAAATAATCAAAGATGGACAACATGCTTACTTCGAAGGGTATACTTTGTATGTAAGATTTGCAGAATCCCGACACTGAGAGATTTTTCCCAACTGCCCGCATGGCTGTCCAGTCTTCTGACTGGCAGGCTGTCTGGGGATGTACGAGTCCACTCGTCGCATCGCCTCCCCGTGCAAAGCGATGCGGCCAAGGAAATGGTCCATCGCTCTGCATCTTTGCGATTTTTCACCACACACTCCATTTACTAAGTACAAGAAGCTACTAGGAGCTAGGGGCATCGCTAGTAGTAACAAGTGCATCGCTACTAGTAACAAGAAGCTACTAGGAGCTCCTGGCATTGCTACTAGGAACAAGGACGCTACTGGAGGGCCTCGCCGCAGCGACAAAAGAAACGCCAGGGACGCCGTTGGATGATTGGTCCTTGCGCCGCGCTGAAGCGCCTGCGTCAACGTGCTGGCGCCCACCTTGGCCCCGCACCTCGGGAGTTTTTTGACACTTCGAACCAGAAGGACCCTGGCAACTGGACGACCGCACTCCACTTTTGGGGTCAGAAACACATGAACCATCATGGAACCCATCAATAGGCGGAAAGACTCACGGGGTGCACCCTTCCACCAAATGTTGACAAAAAACGTGTTGACTTTGGAGAGGTGCAGCACTTCTCATGGAAAGAATTTCACTTGTACTTGGCAACTGTGAAGAAGCATCGCTGTTGCATTCGGGATCGCAGAATCAATTTCTACAGAATCCAGCTGCCTCCAGGCTAAAGGGAGTGTTTCGCAGAAGCTTGTTGGCACAGGTGGGCGTGATGGGGCTGGGGGTGGGGTCATGCTAACACTTCGTTGCAAGAAATGAAGTAACTTCGTTTGCTTACTATAATCAGCTTTCTCAGGAGGCACCAAGAACATGCTAATTATTGGTACAGATTTCCCTTTGTCTTGCTCCCTCACTTGCCTTTTCCAAAGCCCGTAGGGTTCATTGTTGTAATGGGTCACCTAATAGGTTGCTCGCAACTAGACTAAGGGGTTCTAACAGTGTGAGGGTAAGGCAGGGTTTGGAGGCAGGGCTCGCTTTTCGTTTTGCGACCGTCACCACATGCTGTGCCCCATCGTGGACCTGAAAAAAAACCTTGAACCTACTACAAGATCGTTCAGAAAGTCCACCAAGCGCTGCGCTTCGCGCGAGATCTGCACTTCAAGCTTTGCGCATGGGTAACGAATCTGCATCTTGAGGTTTACAAAGCGCTACGCCTGCCACGAAACCTGCACTTTAAGGTTCACTTTGAGGACTGCAGGTGCCCGGTGTCCTCCATCTAGTGGTGCCCTGATGCAGGACTGTTCCCATCCGTTGAGAATAGAAAAAGGTCATTGGCTGCACCTCGCTGCACCTCTTCCCTGTCATTCACCAAAGACTTCCCAATTTGTGCCCTGTGTGGGTGGTGTTTTGATGTGATGTCCCTATGCCCTCATCGACTGCAGCCCCAAGCACCCACCACAGCGCATGGTGGCCTTTCGCAGCAGCACCTCGGCCTGGTCGCCCAGCGCTTTGGCAGCGCGCACGTCCACGCGGGCGGAAGGCATCTCGGGAAGGCCTGGCCGCGCGTCCACGGGGGAGACGGGGAGACCAGGGGCGATGTCGAAAGTGGAGGACATTGATGATCTGATCAAAGACTCCCTCAAGAGTGAGCTTGCACTACTCACATTTTCGACGAAAAGGGTCCCGTGGCCTTCGAAGTAGTTCCACATCCACCGGCGATCGATCCAATCCTCAGGTGGAGCTTCAGATTGGCCCCTTATCATTTAATCATTGACTACTTTGGTTGGAGGCCATCGCTGTTAGGTTCCCTTATCATTTATCATTGACTGTGGTTTCAGAGGTTCGATGGCACCTTTGCCCCAAGATGTCTTAGACAAATGGAGGTCCATATAAACCACCGCGGGGGCCTTTGTGCCATCTACTCTCAACCCACAAAAATGTTTGCATATATTAAACAGTGCCGACCATTAGGAACACGAATGTACTAGGTGGAGGCCATCGCTAGTAGGTTGCAGGCCATTACTACTAGTAGCAAGGACGCAATTAGTAGCTAAGGGCATTACTATTGGTAAGAAGAAGCTACTAGTAACAAAGGCCCAGAAAGGACCAAAACATTGAACCGCAACCAATACTGAATGCCACGATTTGTCCCAAATTCTGCACCTTGGAAGTATCTCTTCCATCTACTTGAGGGCTCATTCTGAGCCAAACGAGGAACATTTATGTGGCATCCCCTTTCGGGTGTGACCTGGACCCCTTCGCCGCTCTCCGTCGTTCCACGACGTGCACCAGGACTCCTTCAAGTGCCACAGCCAAGCGCCCTTGGCCGCCAAGACCCCACGAGAGGCGATACCTCGGATCTGCGCGTTTCGCGCGTTCGGGAGCTCCCTTTCGGGGTGAAGAACAGGCGTTCGTAGCTTTTTTCGAAACGCTGGCGGGGCTGAGCTTGTGACCTTTGCGTCTCTTGTGATTTTGTGTGTTGAACATGACGGAGGAACTATTGGGATCGTATCAGCGAGACCGGACACAGAAAGCCTACTGAAACGAGAATCTTACTTGACTCATACGACATCCACTTCAATGCCTCTTGGCAAGTTGGTGATGGTCACCGTGGAACGCTGAGGATTGAATCCTGAAGCATTATCTGACTAGGCTGCCATAAGTAGCTATTGGAAGCTACTGGTACTAGCCTTGATTAAACAAGTTCCAAACTCCAATCACATGTCATAATATCTATTAACCATTGTAGAGGCAATTGAACTGTTTGATGAAGTCCCACATTAAAAGAACAGTAAAGATCCCTGGCATGTTTCGGGTTCAAACTTTCCAAGGTTCTTCCTCTTACACGTGACACCTAACCAACTTCGTTGCTAGGAAGATGGCAGCCATGAAGCACAAAGACATGCGAACTGACCCCAACCACAAAGAGTTTCCTTTACTTTCTTCTAAAAAAAGCTATTAGAAACAAGTGCATCGCTAGTAGTAACAAGTGCCTTACTAGACGTAACAAGGACGCTACTAAAAACAAGTGCGTCGCTACGAACGGAGCAAGTGCGGATGCCATCGTAGCAAGCAGTTCCGCGACTCCGCTGTTCCGTGCGGTCGGCCGGGGCCCAGGTGCAGGTGCCATCCCCGAGGTTCAAGAGGCCCAAGAAGGAGCTTTGAGGCCAATACCTCGCGAGAGGGAAAGCGAAGCAAACTGAGCTGAGAAGAAGCTGGTAGTTGGTATAGCTGAATATCGCTCTAAATTGTACAATGGCTTGGATTAGATGGAATTCCATCCAACTTCGAATGACGTGTGGAAAAGAAAGCGGCTCATCTACACAGTCTTTGCTGGTCTTTGGATCAAAGCACTTGCACTCGGCTGATTCTGAACCAAAAACAGATCGGAATCAAACATGCCAAAGAAGAAAACATGCTCAGTGCCAACCTCTTTGCTCAGTGCCAACCGTGTGGCGTGACCAGCTTTTCTCCACGGAGAGTGGCACGGAGATTGATCCAAAGCACCAGCCCGGCCATCACCGCGAAGACGCCCGCCTTGGGCCTTGGATGCCCGTCGACCTAAGGCGGACGGAGATGGGCCGTTTCTTCGTCAATGGGGTTTAGCACGAACATCAAATGAAATATTTGGAGGTGTACAACACTTTCTTGACAGAATTATTCTTATGAGAGCAAAAGAGTTAGTTTGTCAAAGGCATTTCAATTCCAAGAGTCTTACATAAAAATAACGAAATACAGAAACAAACCTCTAGTGTTCCAGTGCCGGATCCAGCAGAGACCACTGGTAAATTGATTTGGAACATAATGCACATTTACAGTCACCAAAACCCAACACAGCCCCCCCACAATGCAAGACCCAAAATACATGATCTGATCATTTGGTTTCAGTGTCAGGGTTGAACACAATTGCAAACATCAATTCCATACTCGAGACTACAAAGCGACCACGGGCGTGGCCATCGCTCTTAGTGTGGAGGCCATCGCTCTTAGGGTGGAGGCCATCGCTTTTAGATTGAAGATGGTATATATTCCTCTATCATTCCTATTTCGAGACTACAAGCGACCACGGGCGTGGCCACCAGAACGCCCCAAAACGCCCCACGGCCACCGGAGCACGCTGGCAATGTCGCCGCCGGCGAAGATGTCACCACACAAGGGTTGCCCATCAGTGCGGTGGCAGCGCATTTGTTGGTCCACAAGAAGGAAACCATCCTGGAAGGTTGCGCCCGTGCTTCATTCGGGATCCCAGTGAATGATGGTGGTGGTGGTGGTGGTGGCAGCTTCTGTTCAATTCATCACGGCAACGTTGCTTCAAGGCACCGAGACAGTCCACCAGCCAAGAAGGATGCCAGTTTGGAGCGTCCTTGTCCAAACACAAAGCAACTAGGTTGGAGGCCATCGCTCTTAGGTCGGAAGCCACTACTATTAGGTTCCTTTTGCTATTAGGTTGGAGGCCCCACCAACCTACTAGCGATGGCCTCCCAACAAGGATCGCCCCTTGTAGCTGAAACCCGAAGCTCTCGTTTGGTCCATCCTTTCGGGAGAGGAATGGTACCCAAGCCACCACAAGGGCCATCAAATATCTCACCATAACCCGCGGACACTTGTGTTGTAATCAAGACACGATCAAGCAGTTTCTTATACACAAAAAACTCAAACATTGTGTTCATCTTCGGTGGGCGCTTCTTAGGTGCCCTTCGCTATGTCGCTGTCAACGCTCCGTTCATTCGGCCTGGTCGGTGCGCAAGCCGCAGGACTTGACCCAGCTCTGTGGCGAGCCCTGGGTGCACCTCGAGCAACGCGATGCGCGTCTCGGTCGGGCCGTCCCCCCGGACCCAGCATTAGCGCGGTCACGCGCGCAGGCCGGGAGTGGAGCGTAGTGGCCGAGAAGCCGTGAATTGGTGGTTCTGCGGGTATGTACAGTCTACAGGTTTGGAGAGATGTCTAAGAGATCTGAGTTTGGAGAGCGCACACATGAGAGCGCATGAATAAAACACACATGTGCGCCCGCTCTTCGACTTTCACAAAGGCAACAACTGCGATCACGAGTCTCAGACTCATGGCTCTGACAGAGAAGACCGGCAGGGAGACAAAAGCCGAACTCTCGTCTACTGCGACC